AAGGAAGAAATGGATACCAGGAAAGATCCTCAACTGCCGCGGAAATACAGTATACGACGTCCTCGTGAATGAAGCCGTGGAATGTCGTCATGCCAATCAACTACGTCCACGCATGGCCGCCACACCAGAGCAGACATCACTGGAAAGCTACGACTTATCACCTGAACCGGCACAACGTGCGAAACCGTCGTTCCAGAATCCAGTGACTATGGCAACACCAGATGCAACAATCAACTGTTCAGATTCAGAAGCTACATCACTGGAGAAAACCACACCGCTCAAAGAACGCCCACAACGCAACCGCCGACCGCCGAGCCGACTCCAAGTCAAGCCACATCAGAAGACATACATGTAGACAAAAGAACTTACCCATTAATAAGATGAATGTTGTTATTGTATAAAAAACAATCCCACCATTGCATCTTAGGGGGGAGGTGTTGCGGCAGACCGCTCAATACTAATGAGCTCACTGCCCTAAGTGATAAATGGAGCGGTTGTTTACATTGTTGTGTTAGCAGTGATAATTCATATTAGGTCTATAAAAGACCCTCAGTGCGGTGTGATGTCAATTGTCGTCTCGTGCTCAATAAAGCACTCTCGTCCGAAGTCTCAACACAAATTACATGAACGTTTTCAGTTAGAGTTCGAGTTCCATTATTAGGAACTACCCATCAAGGAACCGAGATTTCAACGAGCAGCTAACTAAAAAAAAGATGTCGGTGGATACAGTAGTAGTCATAGACATGAAGCGAATAACAATCAAAACTGAAACGCACCGTCTCGAAAACATCTTACATGACCAGTTGACACATGTAATCACGATATACTGCCCGTCAAGTGCATAGCAAGGCACACTGTTCAGTAGGCCCAGTGCTAGTGAAAGCGTGAACAGATACTTCGGTACCAACTCCACAGACTCCGCCCAATAGTGTGGCACCCATGAGAAGCGAGCCACTAATCCGTCGATTCTCACATAGCTGATAAGCTGAAAGATGTATGACGATTGTGAAAAAAGGGTAGGCTACAAAGTTAGGTCCTGTGCATAGAGAAAATGACAAGAAAGAATGATCGTATGAATAGCATACCTCATCTAGATTACCCACGTAAAGGACGGGTCTTACATGATTCCTCACAGTTATTCGAGCCAACTGCGTACCATTGTAAAGGGCTGCAAACACGCAAACACGTTCCTCACCGTCCCCACCCTGAAAGTAAATGCAACTCTGGACAATTAGTTTCTGAGGAAGGTATAGAAATGAATTTTTTGACTTATTTCTTGAAGTTAGTTTTTTTTGTGTGACTGATATCAAGCTTTTTGCTGAGAGTGACTAATGTAATCTTCTCTCGTTCATGTCATTTGCGATTAATAATCAGCTTTCAATTAAAATTGAAATTTAGTGTTTCACAAAAATGGGTGGATTTCCCAAGCAATCTGTGTTATGGGATTCTTCTTAACACACATCACACATCATATCACTCTTCTATGAGATCGTACTTGCTCAGTAATGTGGGTCAATTTCTAGGGAACGTGCAGTTCAAAAACCGAAGGAGGCCGGAAACGTTTTATCAACTCTAAAACTCCAAATATAAATTCTGACTGAATATGAAAAAGCGCTCCATGCTCAAATGTGTACACTAATTTATAAAATCTTTATTTGAAGTTGGGAACTCCACATTCCAACAACTTCCACCATCCATACCTGCCGATATACCAATAAAGATTTTTAGGGCTTTGCTGAGCGAAGGGTAGATGGTAGAGGGTGTGCGATAGTTGCTCTCTCTAGGTCAGTGAATAAGTAGTACCTAATTGAAACATTCTATAGGGCTGAAGGAGGTGCTCAGAACTGAATTATAGCTAGAGAAACCTTGAAGGCTCTTCGAATCTTTCGGTATTTCAGGAGTACACATGTTACAACCTTACTTGCTTAAACATGCGGAGCATCGGAAAGTATAAAACTCGAATGTTAAGAGTGTTAATAAAAAAAAACAAGATCAAAAAAAGTGATAGAAAACTCCTCCAGCAAATAAGACAATCGAGATTGTGCGAGTGAGCAGTAATCCAGAAGGCTAAAACTGACACTTCGACTCTGCTACTCTTCATGACTGAGCATGACATTCACACTCAGTATATCAGTGAGTCTGATGAATGAATAAAAACACACCGTTACACAGCTGGAAGTATTGCTGCATGTCGGTTGAGAGGTGACATATTGGGCGGAGAGGCAACTGAATCGTCGCGATCTTTGACGTTTTTTACGGATGATTTCTTGAGCAGGCTGAAATTGCTGAATACAGGGAACTTCAAAATGAAAGCAATTATAATTCTGTATAGAGTAAAAAGCAAGCGGACATACATATTCAAGACACTCCCCGCGTTCATTCGATGCGCAGGTGCCTTCGGACATGGTGATCCTGTACGCGAGCATAAAGGGTTGACTGCTTTCTCAGCTAGAAAATACACGAGAAGGGCTGTTCCGCTAGCGACGAGGTCACGGCGACGCCTAACTTTAATTTCTAGAGGCTTCTTAGTGATGCAGTTCTTCCGCTACCAATTCTCGAGTGCCACTAAGGATGACACGGAGAAAGAGCTAGCACCAGCAAATGAGAACTCGTTCGACCACACCCCTTCTTTGCTGAACCGCGCATGTACAAGAGCCGTCCAGCATGGAGTCCTATATAAGCCATTTGGGGCGGGTGGTTTGCTTTCTTCTTCTTCTCAATGTCACTTAACACTCGTCATTAGTGTCAAAGCAGCACAACTCACCATTTTTGAACCAGGGGCGCGTCTTCAACTCTGAAAACGCAACTCACTTCAACAATTCCAACGCGAAGCACCCGATCCAATGACTGTGCCTTCGTAACCAGATGCTTCGTTGTCACATCCAACATTGATTCGAAACACATGTGAGCATGAGTGATGTTTGCAAAGTCATCGCAGCAGTGCAGCTCATCCAACGACATCGAGGTCTGCAAACTAGCCATTACGATGGAACTAAGAAAACGACAGTTCGATCATGGTGAGCAGAGTGTGAGAGAAACATAGAAAGACAAGGCCAAAACATGAAGAACACCTTTGTTGCCAAGGAAGCCTCAATGGTAGAACGTGGAACACACTGCCCGTGCCTGTTCTTCTCTAAATGTCGTACACACTCTCTCCAATCTTCGTGTTTTCGAATAGCACAGTCATCAATGGAAACCACGACGTTTCCGACTGCCAAGCCACCAGCACCGTAAAGACCGGAGCGAGAATCGACACCTAAAACCCAAATTATAAATACGAACGGATAATAATTACGTTTGTTTTGAAGTTCGAAACACTTCGCACTGTCAAAGGACCTGACCAATTTATCGAAATACTCTTAAGCCCCAACATTATCATGTTATAGTATTCACTATACACACAATATCTATAGAAAATTTTTTCGAAAGACTGTCGTCGTGTACATGTAATGTGGCTTTAATATGGTCAAACAACATACAAAAATTGGATTTTTCATGCGTCCGGGTAAAAACTTACTTGTCACAGTAACTCCTTGACCTTGCCCGAAAAATGGCGCCAGAAAGTACGGAGTCCATAAAAACATCACATACGCAATTCCTGCCAACACTATGTTATGCCATATGCCTCCGCCGAAAACTTCCAGACGGTGTCGAGGATGGCTACGTTCTGGAAATCACATGAAAAATAAATTCTGAAGTCATCCAAACTGAAACCGTATAGGACAGAAGGCTGGAAATCTTCGGAAATGATTCAATGCGCTACCAGGTTCTTATTCCAATCAAATAAAACAAAAAAGCTTTCAAAAAGGAGACTGATATGAATAAGGTTCACTCAGTCATACATCAGATAAGAGATAAACATCCTATTTCTGGGATATAAGGCGCATTATTTCGCAAAAGCTCGACGCAATCAGACAGCACACTTTCGACAAACAGCAGCGGGGGTTTCGCGACAATGTTTCTTAATCAGCACCACACACGCTCTCGATCTCTTCTATACTTTATTCCACTGATTCCAACACACTTCCGACTTCCAAACATGTTATTACCGGATTGAATAAAATAAAAGAATAAAGCCTTCATCGTTAACCGATCCCTTTCCTGGATACGGTACGCATTTTACTTACATACGAACCGTACTAGATAAGTGAATGTGATGTGGCCTATACAATGACTCTGCGGGGCCGCCGATGTACAAGTCAGTGTCTTATCCTCCCAGACGAATCTGGTACCAATTTACCGTCCGCGGAGAGCAGAAGGCTTGACTGGCCGGCGGGAGTTAATCAGGAATTCGATTTTCAAAACTAATTAACGAAATGAATAAAGGTATTGAGATAGCCGTTAATAATTTAAAGACATGAAACTGACTATTGGTCAACTTTTAGTAATTTCAGGAGATAATGCTAACTGGTTATAAAATTATTCGTAATTTGAGAAATTATTTTCCGCTGAAATCTATAAACGGCTACCAAAATAAAGGATACCTACTCAGAGACTCTGGATCTATGTCAGTGAAAGCTCCTGGATACAGTCCAAGCAGAAATACTCCGAAACCGTTAACTCGAACATTGTAAGTCGTTGCCGCCGCTGAGTGACCAACCTGAAGATTAGGAAGTAGACAAGGAAAGAAAAATCCAAAGCTAAAGGGGAAATATTTCTTCATAGGTGGGAACGTCTGCTAACCAAACTGGAACTCACTTAATGTCGATGTATAAATTCATTGCTTCGGTTGCGAAAACGCTCTTTTCCACTTTATAAGAAAAGCACTTTGATAAACTCTGAGCCATTGCACGATTTACTCGCGAGGCACCTCCATGTGACTGCTAAGAGGGTAAGGGGTGGAAGTTGGATGGGTAGGGAGTATGGTGGGGAGCATAGCGTACTGCGAAAACAAAAGCATCAGCGTGTGCGATAAGGTGAAGAGGAAGAGCCCCGTGCTCGCACAAGTACAAACCATTTCATACCGCGGTATCAACCTGGGGTGATGTTTTGATGTGGTAACACCTCTCACCTCAACCCTAAACAAGACACCGATGGGCAATTGCGGAAGAAGCACACCGTTTCGAAAGCAACGCTTGCATGTCAGCAGTCCAAGTCAATGAAAAGCCTTGTTGTGCTAGCAAGTATTCCGATGCCAGTAAGCTGGCAGTTGAAGGAAGTACCTGCAGAGGCGTAAGGATGTAGCACACGGTGTACAAAGGGAACGGGATGGCTGCCGGGGTACCGGAACTGCGTGTTTTTAATAACAAT